TGGTACGGTGCAGTGTGATTTGGGTGGTGGTCATGGAGACTGCTGCCCCCGTGACCCGGTAACGGATAAGCAGATGAAAATGGATGGATGGATGGATATAACAGCTTCCCGTTTCTTACATTTGTACTGTTGACTTTGCAGGTATAAGTGTGGAAGAATAACTGCAAGTCAAAAATTAAATAACTGAAAACATGAATGAACTATTTGCATTATTTTGGAAGTTAGCTCTGGTTATAAAGTCTGATTTTATTTACTGAATCTAAGGTGCCAGAGAATCTGTGACTCATCTGATGGGCTAGAACTCTTTTGTAATTTCTACGAAAAGATTGGTCTACTGTACTTCCTGTTGTACGTGACACACCTATGACTATTTTAGAGTTTTTCTGGGCTTTGTCTGGGATTGAAGTGACTTCCTGTCTGACAGGAACTTCACTGAGGTGTTTGGGACACAATAGTTATTCCTACAAAGAAAACTGAAACGTGGAAATGCATAAAGCTCATAATATTATTGGACAAACAACAGATTCATGTTGGTGTTCATTCATTTATAATGCTGTATATGTAAATATATGATTTCATGAATATACTGTTAAGGTATAAACGTACTGTATAGTCACCCACCTGTTTTGTTTATAAATTGTAAAAGTAAAACATATTTAGTATGTAAAAGAAGTGAAGGTAATATTTTATTATTGTCTTTGCTTATTCTCAGTTTATTGTCTAGTTTATATTTATTTCTATAAATATATTAAATATATAAATGTATATATATTGCTATATATAAATATATTGAATATATAAATATATAATTAATACTATACTGCATATATATTTGTACACATGGATTTATATATAGCGTATTTTCCGGACTATGAGCCGCTACTTTTTCATAAATGTATAGTTTTTATAAAAAACTTAGTGAGTGCCGCTTATATTCAGGTGCATTTATACATACATACATACATATATATGTATCCAATATACAATATGTAAAACCACGCTGGTTTTATACAGAGGAGTGAATGAATGAGCTGCTGCAGCACAGAGCTAATCCCCCCTTTTTTTTTACACTCATCTGCTGACCAGTAGGAAACTGAGGGCCAGCTTTCATCTGAGGCATTGTGGGCCAGTCACAGCGATGCCCAGTGAGCTGAGAGACACTCACGAGTCCATGACTGCACACAGACTCAGAGAGGAAACTTCACATGTGGCTGATGTGTCTGTTCTGTCCTGTGACCTGACACAGACTGTGGGGGGAAAAAAAAAGCCCCAAGGATAATCTCTTACCTCCAGTCGACTCTCCTGTCAAAATGAAACATCAAATACACAAATCAAGGAGATAAAAGTACAAGAAATAAAGAATTTATTGCAGGCAAACAAAACAAAACAAAAAAAATTCTATAAATAATATTTACAAACTAAAGTCTCATTCCTTAAATGGGTTACAGTTTTTAGTCAACTTAATTTTTCTCACACTGGCTGCTGAAGGACAGGTACAGGCAGAGGTTTGAAGCTACTGTTGTCAAACAAACTGAACTCAAATGCAAGTTTGTGAAGACCCCTGATCATTAGGGTTAAGTTTAGGATTAAGGTTGGTACTTTTAGCTGTTGTATATTTCTGTCAAACTAGAATTAAATGCCTAATTTAGAGTTTGTAAAAAAAAAAAAAAAATTTGGACTCAGTAGGCGTTTGTTATCACTCCAATTAAAGAAACCAACTCCTCCATTTGAAATTAGTAGAAGCTTAAAGATAACAAACCCCAAACATAAAACAATGTAAAAAGGAGAACACTTCTATATCGCAAAAAGCCTTCTCAAACATGTTTCAAGCAGGTTTGTGATTGTCCACCCATTTGAAACACTGGCTGAAAAACAAACAGAAGGTCAGTGTAATTATGAATAGCTTGTTTTTTGTTAAAATGTTTACGGTAGTAGAAGGTTGAGCGACTGAATATTGCGGCAGGTCGAGCGGAACCGTCACAGCATTGGTTTCACTCTGGTGTCAATGTTTTCGTTTTCCCTCCGACTCTAAGCAAAAGCGTTCGAAGGCTTCTTCGATCTCGGGCTCCATCTCGTCGTCAAAGTCATACCTGTGAACATAAAAAAGACTCTGCAGTTTAGAGACATCAGCGGTAATTTGATTTATTTTATACAAATATATTTAATCTGATAAAATATTGGTTTGTACAAATAAATGTACCCTAAAGATTTCCATTCAAAACTAGGATTAAGCCTTTGTCGTCAACAATATTAATTAGTCTACACCAGTGTTTCCCAAACTTTTTTTCTGGGGACCCATATTTAAAAAAATCACAAACCTTCACGACCCACATTATTGGTAAACTCCTGGTAAACATGATGTGAGACGACACACAAAAAAAAACTCTTTTGGGAATCAATGGTCTACAGTCCCTCTCAATCTATTTGACAATCGTGTCGGTCAGCCGGCCAATCATAAACTTGCTTACTTTCCTGCACTCTGTTAGGCTAAACCTCAGGTTTGACACTAGCCAGACATCTGACCTGAGGTTTAAAAGCAGGGAAATGCATGCTGGGTGTTGAAATGGTGTTTTTAAGACAATGTGCTGTGATGAAACAAAAACCCTTTCCTGCAGTGTTTTTTAACTGACAACATCTGTGGTGACCGTGCATGAGAACATCAACTTTTGACAGCATTAGTTTCAACATAAATCTAAATGTATGTATGTTAGAGAGTATTGTAAACATTATTGGAGGTTGCACCTTATGATAACAAACAATTGTTATCCCAAAAGACTGGGTCGGGACCCTCAGGTGGGTCGCAAGAGATTTCTTGCATCATGTTTCCCAGGGGTTTACCAATAATGTCTCTTGACTTGGGTCGTGAAGGTTTGTGACTTTTAAAATATGGGTCCCCAGAAAAAAAGTTTGGAAAACACTGGTTTAGAGTTCATAATCCAGGTAAAAGATCGTAAGAGACTGGAGAACAATCTCAGTGTATAAAGGCTAAAAAGAAAATGGTCCTGAAACTACTTTAGTAAAACACGATTACTCACTCGTCACGGTCATTTCCATTTTCACCGTCAAAGTCATCAAAATAATCCTGTTGTTCCAGGATAGCTTGGTATTTCTCTGCATATTCTATAGAAAAAAAGAAAATGATTCATGAAACGATGCAATATGAGGTTACCTTTACAGTCATAACAATAATTTAATGCAGGTCATGTTCTTTGGACATTTAAAATTATATTATTTAGAATTATAAAAATAATTAGTTAAATTATAGATAAAATATTTATATGGACATATCTTCTATTGAAATTTTCCCAGAAAGCTTTCCCTTTTAAATTTAAAATCATAGTTACAGTCATATATAAACCATAGTCCAGTGGAACCTCGGGATACGAGCATCCCCACATACGAGTATTTCGAAATACGAGCAAGCATTCGAGCAAATTTTTGCTTTGAGATACGAGTAAAGATTTGAGATATGGGCACGCTTAGAGACGCCGACGCTAAGTGCTCCGAGAGCTCGACCAGCTCGACCACTTAGCGTCGGCGTCTGTAAGCGTGCCCATATCTCAAATCTTTACTCGTATCTCATCTCCCACGAGTCTTCCGTATTGTGTTTGCATTATCTACGTGATTTTCTCTCTATTTTGTGCATTATTGTTCATCATAGTGATGAGTCTTAAGAGAGTGAGTGGTAAGGATGATGGTGAGAAGAAGAAATGCTTGATGACCATGGAAATAAAGCAGGAAATTGTCAATAAATGAGTGTGGTGCCACTTAAGAAAGAATACAAATCGAGCAAAAAAAATGTGTTAAGTTAATTCTAAGTCTATGTAAGTTACGTAGTGTACGTGTAAGGTACGGTACGGAATCAAGTGTCTACGTACAGGCAAACTCTCTTCCTCCCTCCTCTCCTCCTCCTCCCACATGCCTCCATTAGCCTCTACAGTATCGTCTGTCTCGAAGGTAAGAACTCATAATTAAAACCACATTTTATTTTATATCACAGGAATCCTTAGATACTATATGTTTTGTGTGTGTATGTCTCTACAGAAATTAAGAACATGTCTTCTTCCATTGTTATTAGCACTAATAAGGGAGTTTTTTAGAGGGACGGAACGGATTGATTTTTTTTCTTTTATTTCTTATGGGAAAAAATGATTCGAGATACGAACACCTCTAGTCACGAGCTCGGTCCTGGAACGGATTACGCTTGTATCTCAAGGTCTCACTGTATAATAACATCTCTCTCTGAATTTGATCCCACTCTGGTTCTTTGTGTTTTGTTACAGTCATACTGACAGCACTGATGCTGACTCTACATCCTGTTAAAGCCTGGACTGACCTGGATCTGCTGCAGTGAAAGGTGTGCCATCCTCTGTGTAGAACGTTGGTTCGTTCTGCGATAAAAACAGACAGAGACTGTGAAAATGTAGAAATGTATAAAACATTGAAACATTGATAGACTATGTGAATAATTGCTCCGTACCATGAAGTAGTTGGGGTCGTTGTCTGGTGTGGCGTTGCTCGCAGATGAACCGGCACAAACTCTTCCCCAGTCGCTGGATCTCAGCTCAACCAGTTTTAGCAGCATCTGTCTGACATCCCTGAGGAGAAGATGCTTGAATTGTAACTATAGGCTGTGCATGAGAGTGACTGACATGTCGTCACATGTTTTGTCTTTTAAAACATTAAGATAGAAATTGTGAAATGAGACCAGTAACTTTTACCAAACGGTCCACCCACCTGCTGCAGGTGGCATCCAGGACTATTGTCTCTATTCTCTGGATCAGCTTCTCCATGTGTGACTGTCCACTTTGTTTCCAAGTGTCGTCCAGGACCGATCCCGTGAGCTTCAAAGTCAAAAACGTTCTCATTAGCTTTTTTACAACAAAAAAAAAGCATTAATGTCCACTGAACAAACTTTTATCACTCAGGTTCAAGACCTTCAGGAGTTTGACGGCACAGATGAGGTTTGAATCCACAGGATTGGAGAAGAGACTGTTCATCAGATCCTTGAGGGCATCGAGGAGAATCTTAGCCCTTGTTGGAGGACCTTTAGGACCCTTGATCTAAACAAAATAAAAAACCAAAAAACAACACAAACAATCCCAAGGTAACACAGATGTACACAAACAATGCTATTAAAGAGCTTTGACAAAATAGTTAAAACAGCTACACAAAGGGCCAAAACAGAAGATGAAACAATACTGTAAGTAAAGAGTAAACCCAAAAATGATATGAATGTAACAAAAGTACAGTAAATTTCCCAAAATTTGACTCAGATATTATCAATAGATTCACTGAAAACAGAAATGATGCTAACACTAAAAAAAACACTTAATGACTTCTTTTGTGGCCCTGCACCCTATTCTGAAGACCCCTGTTGTACAGCATTAAGGTGCAGAATAAGAATCAACTTAAAATACAAACAAATTGTCTCCATCTTCCACCAAGGGGTCAACGGTGACCTCTGACCTCTAAATGCAGGTACAGCTCTCCCAGAAAGAGCACATAGGAGTGGAACTTCTTCTGAGTCGCTGCATCTCCTCGAACAGCAGCATCCCTCTGTTCGTATTCCTTTTGACACCTGGAAACAGTCTTATCTCGTACATCAGTTTGAATGTGTGACGAGCACGAATAAAATAAAGCAAAAAAAAAAAAAAAAACAGACACATGGACAAATGTGTGAGAATCACCTTATCAGAAGCAGCTGCCTGAAGTTTGCGGTGAGATGTTTGGACAGATGGTTGCAGAGTCTGGCGCCCGTGTAGGCAAAGTTTTGAACGGTGGTGGACTGATGTGAAGAGTTTGGTTTGGAGATATTTTAATATTACCTATTGGACAACAACGTGATGAATGCACATGCACATACGAACCTGTTCGTAGATCAGTTCCACCAAACTCTGCAGTAACTCCTCGGTAGTGACGTAGGAGTTGAGCACACTCGTCATGTATTCAATATCGGACTCAAACGACCCCGGGGAGGAGCTCAGGTGGTTGAGGAAATCTGTCACCATGCTGGCCAGGTTGAGTTCACCCTCATATTCTTCACTCTCATCATACGCAGCTGGCTCCTATGAAAACAAAACAAAAAATCACTAAAATTTTTTTATTGTAAGTGGTAATAGGACAAATAATAGCTTAGTGCATACGCATCAAACTCAAGGCCTGGGGGCCAAATGCAGCCCGCCAAGCCGTTTTGTGTGGCCTGCAGGAGCTTAAAAAGCATTTAGTAAAGTCCATGTAGCAGAGTTTCTTAACCTGAGAAATTAAAAGTTTTTATAATCAATCAAATAATAATCAGTTGCAGAAACATGTATCAGTCTGTTATGGAGTAGTTACATTGATACCACTGACCTTTTTTGTTCCAAGGACTGGTCAGCCAGTATCACCTGTTACTACAGACCAGTACCAAGGTACTGATTATTGAAGGATCATTAAATTTAAAATAAAACATCTTTCAGACTCTGTTCTGTTTGTATCAGAGTCTGAATGACACATTATTTTAACATATTGCCAGATTATCTTTAAATAAAAATAGTAAAGGATATGACTGGATTTAGTAAAAAGTAAGTACATGTTTCCACTGTGTCCCACTGCGGCCCAGTACCAAATGACCTATGGACTGGTACTGGACCAGGGGTTGGGGACCCCTGATCTATACAGTCTTACATTTACAACCGGCCCTTCAAGGCTTCATATTGAGTTTGACACCCCTGCCTTAGGGGCTTCACTGACCAATGTTAAATGTCAAGAAATTCACACTTCACACTTTTATAAAAGCCTGACCTTGTGGCAGTTTATTCGTTTTGTTTGCCACAGGCATGTAAAATGTGGGGAATCCCAACAGGAATCCTGACAACATGAAACCAACTTCATCGGAGAAGCACCATCCTTCTCTGATGAAGTTGATTTCATGTTGTCAGTTTAACACTAAAACCATATGACAGTGTTAAACCTATTGACCAGTACAGTAGGTAATGTGGTAGGTTGGGCTACTGCGTGTCTGCCCAAAGGTCTGCTGTACAGAGAGAAAACACTAGAATATTTTGCTGTTGAAAACAATGTTGCCACCTCAGATTGGTTAAATCCAGGGGGAAAAAACTCTGGAGCTGCAGCAGAGAGGTTCGATGATTTGACCAGGGAGTCCATGTCACTACGTTCTTGAGAAGAAGGAAAACTGTTGGCACTTGAATTTTGTTGTTGTCTCTTAGAATCTGGGAAGAATATGAAATAATAACATGAATCAAGGCAAATACTGACTCTGGTACATTTGGCATTAGAGAACCTAAAGATAATACTCTGACCCAAGAACATGAATCACCCATGACTGTCCTACTAACGCAAATGAATGAATTAAACCAGGAAGCTGATATCTGATCTAATCTTCCGCTTCACATTACCTTGCTACTTCATGTACGATGAAATATGGCTAATAGCTGAAGACAACAACTTTACTTCAGCGGGTGACATCCCAGTGGGGTGGTCATTTAGTTTCTGCAATGCTACACATGAAACACCAACTGACAGTTCCAAAACCAGGATGAAGTTAGCTTTGGATTGGAACTGAAATGTAACACAGCCCTACACTTGGCTAAAATACTGTGTCAAAGCTGCTTGTGATGCCTGAAGATGTTAGTTAAGATTTTTTACTTATATTATCCACTAAGAAAAACAATAGTGTAGAAGTTTCCAGATCTCCTCTAAAGTACCCCCCCCCTTCTGTACAGTAATATTGTTGAACCCCTTCCCCAATGTTTGACACATAAGACAGCTACTGCTTCAAAAATCCACTAAAATTACTTTACTTTAATTATTATTATTACTATAAACAGTGTAAATTAATAAAAACAGTAAATACAATTTTAAAAAATGACTATTTATTCTCATAATTTCAAATGTTCACCCCCCCCCCCCCCCCCCCCCCCCCCCCCCCCCCCCCC